TGCCTACCACACCCATAGAGCTCTCCAAGGGCAGCTGTTCCTCATACACTCCACTCTCTCCTCTGCTCAAAACCAACTCCTACATTCACCTGCAATCCACCACCTGAGCTCAGGGCACTCTTACATTCCTCAAGGACTCCCGCCCCTGCCTCCATCCCTAAGTCATCCCGTCTTCTCTCCCAAAGCTCTGGCTCAAATGTTTCCCCCGCCAACTTAATCCTAACAGTTCCCCGTCTCTCCTAAGCCTGAACCCCTGCAACCCCTAGATGCACTTGGGATTACTGTTCAACCCCAGTCCAAATCCCACATTCCATCTCACATTCCCTAGGTCAAGCCTTGGGTGTGTGTCAAGGGGAAAGTCTTAATGAATGAGAACCAGAAAACCTGCCCTTGTGACGCAGTCTCTATACCCAGTCTTGCTGGCACACGGAGATACTGATAAAAAAAACAAATACACAAAAATGAAAGAACTAGCAGCAGGGCATGTTTCAAGATTTATTGAGTGCGTGAGAGGACAATGGTCCACAGCACAGAAAAAGTCAACAGGAACAAATTCTTGGTTTTCAGAAGTCACACCAGGAACAGGCAGGAGGACACTGGATGGCCTGGCCTAGATGGAAGAAAACCAGTCTTCCTGGGCCATGGCACTCTGTGGCACTGGCAGGGCAGAGCCAGCTGAAAGGTCTTCACCTCTGGATCCCAAGTCCCCAGAGCCACAGGGCTTTTCCTCTGCCCACCCTCCACCCACGCTGAGGGAAAAGTCGATTAGTGTTGTGCTGAGACAATAGGGGCAAGAAGGTCCAGCCATGCGTCATGGAGTGACATCACTCATCACTTTTGGTCTGTGATCAACCCTCAAACAATCTAAAAGAGAAGACAAATGAAGCCAGCGGCTTGGAATTTCTGCCTGGGAAACACAGGCCGACTTAACCTCTTGGCATTCACTTACCATGAGGAGACCCCTCCAGGGAAGCTGGGACCCCAGGTCATTGTCTCGAGAGGCTCAGTGCCTGCACCTCCTGGGGTTTCCTCCAACAGTCTCCAGACCCAGGGCGGCATCCCTGGAGTGAGGAGGGGCCACAGAGCAGGAGGCTGCAAGTGCTTGGTCGCCAGTGTTCTGCCATCTTTCTTCAAGCTGATGTCAATGGGAATGCCCCCAATTAATCAATCAGGTATGAGTTGCCAGTTTCTTTCATACCAAACTCATCTCAAAAAGGAATCTCAATGCTCCCAAAGATTACTCAAAATAAAACTTAGGAGTCTAGCAGAACTGTCCTAGGAGTCTTGACAGGCAACCGAGCAGATGTGCAACTGGCAGAGAGACAGCTGGAGAGACCTCTCAGGGCCCCTCCCATAGATGTCCCACCTCGCCGTGCTGGGAGCCAAGGACCACCCCAGCAGCCATCCCTCCACGCTCTCATTACTTGCCTGCACATCTGTCTCACTCTTGCTCACCCCAGACTCAAAGACCTTCTCATGTTGCTACCCCTTCCTGGAATACCTTTCTATTGCCCATCGCATCCCACTCTTTGAAAGACCTGCCCAGGTCCACCACCTCCAAAAGGCTGCTTCTCTTTGAAAATCTTAAGGCAGTGACTGTATGCCACCCAACATCACACTTATTTGTTTAAAAAAAAAATTCACACAGGCTTTTCTCACCATCTAGTACCCAAACCTTGACACTGAGAGAGACTGTTCTCTGATAACAGGAGGCTAAGCTGAAAAAAGCCACACTAAAGTGTCTCCCATCACTCACTCACACAGTATCCTGCAATGCTCCTGAGACCAGAAGGTGCTGGCAGGAGAGAAGGAGTGTGTGAAGGCGCCAGCATTTGAAAGGGACAGGTGTGAACCCTCCAAACACGGGAAACGGCTTTCAGCAATTCCTCTCCCTGCGTTATCGATGACCAGAGCACAGGCAGCCCGTGATCATTTTTGAATGCAGGTGTATACAAGGGCAGAGAGAGATGCAGGAGGAGAAACAGATGCCAGCAGCCTGTGGACTAAGTCCAGTCCAGGAAAACAATCCAGCCCAGCACAGGACCCCAAAAGTGGCTCTGCTTTCCTGTAAAAGCCCCATAGAACTTCCCTGCCAGGAGGAATCAAAGAGAAGTCACATGGGGCAAAAACAGTGGGAAAATACTGGTTGGTAATGATAGGAATCATGTGGTCTCAAGTACCACAAAAGTCACCTCTATCAGAACATTATTTTCCAAATGAAGAAAATTAGGTTCTGAATCAGTCCTTGACTGGGATAGTGGCAGAAGGGGATTTAAAGCCAGACGACCACAGTCTCTGAAGCCTAGGTCCACCCATTTTCCATTACAACATCCTGCTGCCCGGGGAGAAAGGGCAGAGACCTCTTATTACCAAAGTGGGACTCTGGAGGTTTCCCCCCAGCAGGAAGTCCTAAAGGCACATGAAGGGCCAGAGGTGATGTGGGTTGGCTGGGTGGACAGTGGATCTGGGGACCCACAGTGCCATTCTCATCTCACCTCTCAACTTCCCTACACCAACCCCAAAGCCCCTGGGAACATGTACAGGACTGTACTAGATACAAAGAACCAACATTCCAAAGAATGAACCAGAGATCTTACCTCAAGGACACTAAGGTCTAGCATGTTCCCGACATGACAACTCCCATGCCTCTGCACACAGTGGACTATCTGCAACAGATAAGATGCCATGAGTGAGCACCTAGCTTGCACCTGCTCACAGCAGGGATGGCAAGCAACAGGAAAGGGCTTAGCACAGTAGTTACCAGACAGTAAACATTCCTAAGCAAACACACTATTTCCTCATGAAAGAGAAAATAGTTAACTCTACAGAGGAAGACAGTGGATGGTCTATGGCAGGGTGAGGGTGGCCAACACTGATCAGTGTAGTTAATCAGCAGAAGATTGAAAGGAGATCAAAACCAGGTTTACAGGAGTGTGCCGCGGCTGAGGCAGTGACTCTGCTGGTCGTCAAGGGAATTTAAGCAACACACACAGCCTGATTCCCAACAGCAGGGAGCAGGAAGTGAAAGCTCTAATCATGACGTAACACCCACGGCAGCCCCCAATCCCCTGGATGCCCCAGGTGTGTGCAGCTTTGAGAAGCAGGAGTGTAGGAAAGTTCCCGGGACAGGAAGGTGAAGATGTGGACCCTCCAAACACGGCAACCTTTCCCACATTTCCTCTGCCTGCACTACCAATGATCAGGACATGGGCGGCCCGTGATCACTTACGAATGCAGGCGCAGGAAAGAGCAGAGGGCAATCCAGGAACAGAGGCCAAAATGAGCTGCCTGGAGATTGCCAAAGCGCCAAGCCCAAAGGACCTGAGCGCTATCCACTTAATGCAGTACAAAGATCTCATCTGCCCCCATCAAGAAAGTCACAGAAGACTAATTTTTGGTTAAAAAAAAAAAGCTACATTGTTCATTCATCCCACAAATATTAAGTATCTACGGGTTGCCAGACATCATGGGTTCAAAAGGAAGAAAAACGTGCAAGATCTCCCCCTTACAGAGTTTTCGCAGTTTCATTACATTACAGAAAGTCAAGCTCAAGAGAATGAAAGAACTTAGCCAGGCTCTCCTCTGCACCCGGCTTTGCCAGACAGTTCTCGGAATTCATGACCATGCCCTTTTCGGGGTCCCCCAGAAGGGAATCTGAAGGGTCCCCCAAGGTGCTCATGACCAGCACCACTTACCCAGGGACATCCTCACCGCGCGGACAGTGGGAGCCCCTCAGGGAGTGCAGATCAGGGTGCTGCAGGAAAAACGGGGGCTCTGGCTGGTGCGGAACCAGCAAAGTCATCCAAGGGAGAGCTGTCATCTGTCTCCAGGAGAGCCGCACAGCCCACGAGGCCTAGGCAGGGAAAAGCATAGGGAAGGGGCTTAGTACAAGGTTCTGGCAAAGGAGCCTGGAATTCGCCCCTCTGGGGCCCTGGGCGTCCTCTATTAAAACCTCAGCCAATTGGTCTGTAAAGTGGAGGTTTTACAGGTTATTGAGGAGAAAATGAGTTAACGGTTCCAAGGACGTGGCACAATGACTGACACTCTGTAGGCAACCGACAAGCAGCTTTGGGGGCTTCCAAAGTCAGGAGTCGGAGATCGGGGTCGGGGGAGTGAAAGTCGCGAGGTCTCTAGAGCCCCTCAGCCCGCGTGCAAGGCCCTGGGCTGCACGTTTCTCAAGGGGCACTAAGCCTCCCCGCATAGAGACTGTGCGGACCGGGGGTCTGACGTCTGCATGGGGTAGGCTCAGCCCAGCGAAGGCCGAGGGCGCGGCTCACCCGCCAGTCTCTTTCCCGAGGACACGCGAATCCTGAGGGGCCCACCCCGGCGGAGGGGACGCAGCACTGCACCAGGGGCTGGGCCTGACGTCCGGCCGGCTCTTCCCACGCCCCTCGGGGCCTCAGTTTCCCCTTTTGTCGGGAAGGAGGTACACAGCACCGGCCTTGGGAGGCCACTGGGGGTTCTTGGTAAGACCACGCCTCGGGCGCTGCCCCTCAGTGACTCATCCCGGGCGTCAGGATGGATGGCGGCGAGTACAGGGGTAACCTCGCGGAGGGGGGGGCGAAGACCAGTCTGCAAACCGCAGCCACAAGACTCTCTCTCTGGTGCTCTGCGCCAGCGGAAATATGGCTGGGGGCGCGGCTGCAGCCTAGAGCGGCGCTTCCGCCGGGCCCCTACCTGCGCAGACGTGCCTGCAGCGCCCCCTGGCCGGACGGAGCTGCAATTCTGTCCCTCTACTAACGCCCTTTATCCAAGCGTTCATCTAAAGGAGCATCCCTTCCATGAGTTCACCCACCCATCCATTTACCCAGAAAATATTTGTGAAACGTCAGCTTCCATTTGAGGACACAGTGAGAAGACAGCCATCAATCTATAAACCAGGAAGTGGGCCCTCACCACTTCCTGGTTTACCAAATCTACTGGTACCTTTGATCTTGGACTTTTAGCCTCCAGAACTGTGAGAAATAAATTTCTGTTGTTTATAAGCCACCCAGTTGATGATGGCACTTTGTTACGGCAGCCCAGTCGGGGGTCGGCTGGCAAATAGGTCAGCTTGGACCATGGCCAGCCTAGTGTCCACACACCCTCCTCTCCAAGCAAAAAAATAGAAAAAAATCCACTTCAAACATGCATCCCTTCTATCATTGGCAAGAGTGTGTCTGCAGTCTTGTTTTGTTTTTGACGTCAGCAGACAAAGGGTCAGTCATTGAGAACAGACTGTTCTTTAAATGCTGTAACAAAGGCTGTCACAACACACTTATTCAAGAACTCAACATGCTGCCCTGTTTGCTGGAATCCCTCACCACGTAGGCCATTGTCACAGATGGGAAAGTCAACCTGGATAAGCAAAATGCCCACAAGGCTGTATGCAACAGCCAAACCCTCAGTGGAATTTCTTAATAACTGGCCATTTAGGACAAGTTAAGGAAAAGACTTGGGCTTTTAGATAGAATGTGTTGGCGATACAAACCTAACTTATGCTTCAAAAAAAAAATACATTATTGGAAACTTATGTAATCAAGCGAGGGGAAGGGCAGAGGTCAAGCTGGGCCTCCAAAACAACGAACACCAGAACTGGAATTCCATCCCTGTCCTGCAACTCTGCCTCTCTCTCTGGGTGGACTTCTGACTTCACACTCGCTCTAGTTTTTTGCTTATAGTGAGGGACATATGCCACATTTACCCAGGGGAACATCTCCATCCTGCTTCCACTGAGGGTAGGCAGGACTGCCACATACAGTTGTGCAGGTCGTGTACTGCACTACTCCTGGGAGCACTATTCACATCATAGCCTATGGTTGAGAAGCAGAGATGCCAGGGATGCTTGGGCAAGCCGATGACACAGAAAACACTTGACTTAAAGGAGAGAAAGTGTTTTCCCTAGCGTGTTCTTCTCTGGTGCAGCAGAGTCACCCTGTGTCATACCATGCAATCCTTAAATGATGGTCCTTCTAATAAAGGCCGTTGAAAATACCTCTGAAGGGCAACACTTTGAGGGATTTTTTCTCCAAGCTACTTGAGATCAAGCAGAAGACTTAAATTAAACCTGTGACAGTGAAACCTCTGCAGGGTCATTAAAAAAAAGGAAAGATTTGCAAGCAGTAGCGGGGCTTTCTGAGAAATGCTATTCTGAACTCCACAAACTTTTTTTTTGAGACAGAGTCTTGCTCTGTCACCCAGGCTGGAGTGCAGTGGCGCGATCTCAGCTCACTGCAACCTCTGCCTCCCAAGTTCAAGGGATTGCCTGCCTTAGCCTCCTGAGTAGCTGGGATTACACCTGGTGACTAATTTTTGTATTTTTAGTAGATTGCACCATATTGGCCAGGCTGGTCTTGAACTCCCAACCTCAGGTGATCCGCCTGTCTCAGCCTCCCAAGTGCTGGGATTACAGGTGTGAGCCACCATGCCCGGCCTGATTTTTACAACCTTTGACACTCAAGCTCTCAATTCTCAAAATTACCTTCTGGGCCAAGGATAGGCACTTCCACCCTTTCTGGAGCTCTTGGAGGAGTCACCCATCTCTAAGATCCCTCGTCTAATTTGTCTTGAGTGTGGGTTAGGACTTGTTGAGGCTGCACACCCCTCAGGGTGTCTGTGCTTTGCTCGTTCATGGGATGTTTGGCCGAGTCCCCACTCCTTCCTGAGGAAGCTCACCCAGCAGGCCCTATCCAGCATGGCAGGGTGTGTGGTAGGGGTGGGAAGGTGGGCTGCAACAGAGGTAAAGGAAGGAGGAGTAGGTGTCAGGGAGCCTGCAGGTGGTCACATCCAGCTGTCACCATTGATAGAGGCAACTGATTTCCACTCTCGTGTCCACCTTTCCCCAGTGGTGGGGTCAGAAGGCATTCACAGGGCAGAAGCACCACTCCTGCCCTTCAAGGGCACTGGGACCAAGATTTTCCAACTGAAGTCTGCCAACTTTTTTTTTTTTTTTTGAAACAGGGTCTTGCTCTGCCATCCAGCTTGCAGTGCAGTGGTGAAATTATGGCTCACTGCAGCCTCCACCTCCCAGGCTCAAGCGATCCTCCAGTCTCAGCCTCCTGAGTAGCTGGGACTATAGGAGCATGCCGCCAGGCCCTGCTAATTAAAAAAAAAAAATTGTAGAGATAGGGTCATACTATGTTGTCCAGGTTGGTCTCCAACTCCTGGTCTCAAATGATCCTCCTGCCTTGGTCTCATATTCAGTCCATAACATCCTCCAAGGGTTTTTGAGATGTTGCTCCACGACACCAACATACATTTCCTATTGATGTACTTTCATGCTGGGATTACAGACATGGGCCACCAGGCCTGGCCCTATGCTCATTTTCTGCTTTTGTTATTTCATTAATTTATTTGTTTTGTTTTTTGAGTCAAAGTCTTGCTCTGTCACCCAGGCTGGAGTGCAGTGGTGTGATCTCAGCTCACTGCAACCTCCGTCTCCTGGGTTCGAGTGATTTTTCCTGCTTCAGCCTCCCGATTAGCTGGGATTACAGGTGCCCGCCACCACACCCGGCTAATTTTTGTATTTTTAGTAGAGATGGGGTTTCACCATCTTGGCCAGGCTGGTCTCGAACTCCTAACCTCAAATGATTCACCTGCCTCAGCCTCCCAAAGTGCTGAGATTGTAGGCGTGAGTCACCATGCCTCGCCCTAATTTTATTTTATTTGAATCAGTTAAGTTGCCCTGTTTTCTTTCTTTCTTTCTTTCTTCCTTCTTTCCTTCCTTCCTTCCTTCCTTCTTTTTTTTTTTTAACAGAGTCTTGCTCTGTTGCCCAGGCTAGAGTTCAGTGTGGCACACTAACTGCAATCTCCACCTGCTGGGTTCAAGCGATTCTCCTGCCTCAGTCTCCCAAGTAGCTGGGATTACAGGCGCCCGCCACCATGCCCAGCTAATTTTTGTATTTTTAGTAGAGACGGGGTTCACCATCCTGGCCAGGCTGGTCTTGAACTCCTGACCTCAAGTGATCCACCTGCCTCGGCCTCCCAAGTGCTGGGATTACAGGTGTGAGCCACCATGCCCAGCCTTTTTCATTTTTTTTTAAGCCCTCAGAGCCAAAAGCAGACTGAGACACAAGGAATTTTTCTTACATGTCAGAATTAAGTGAGCCCTCTCCTCTTGCCACAATGAACATTTCCCTTTCTTCTTTTGCATCAACATTTAAAGGTCATCTATTACAGGCCACACAATGAGATGGGGAGATACTGCCCCCTCTGGTTCCTAACTTATCCACATACCAGCACAGGTGTCCACTCCCCATCCCTTCCTCCTCTTCAGCTTCAGAGTCTTCCTCTTTCTCCCCCGCAACCCTTAAGAGCCTTCCCATTGCAACTTTAAAGGACTCCTATTTGAGTACTTCAAAAATCCACCAAGAGCCAGACACACTGGTGTGCACCTATAGTCCCAGCTACTGGGGAGGCTGAGGCAGAAAGATCCCTTGAGGCCAAAGAAGCATAGCAAGACCTCGTCTCCGAAAAAAGAAAAACCCACCAAGGTCCAAGCATGATGACTCACACTTGCAATCTTAGCACTTTGGGAGGTTGAGGTGGGAGAATCGTTTGATCCCAGGAGTTGGAGACCAGCGTGGACAACATAGTGAGACCTCATCTCTACAAAAAAAAAAAATTGTTTTAATTAGCCAGGTATGGTGACATGTGCTTGTAGTCCCAGCTACTTCGGAGGCTGAGGCAGGAGGATCGCTTGAGCCCAGCAGGTTGAGGCTGCAGTGAGCTCTAATCATGCCATTGCATTCCAGCCTGGGCAACAGAGCAAGACCATGTCTCAAAACACAAACAGAAAACCACCAAAGCACACCACTTCCAAGAAGCCATCTTTCTTTGGAAATCCTGTCATAATCAGGATCTATACCCAATTTTTGTACAATTCTCCTGGCTGGTGAATGTTACCTCTTCTGTGCAGGGCTCATGCTCTGTGAGCCTCAGCCATCCCTTGAGTAGTTAACCTCGTCCTGGGGAACAAATAGTCCCGGATATACACAGCCTAATGTTTGCCAAGAAGTCAAGCTGAGAAAGGCCAAACAAAATGACAGCGCACAATGCCCCCGAGGCTTGAGAGTGTTCACAGAAGAGAAGTCGAATCCGAGAAAAGCACCAGCGTTTCCAAACACGGAGAATGCTTTGTGCAGTTCAACTGCCTGTACTATCGATGACCAAGGCATCAATAGGCAGCTGATGATCGCTTTCAAATGCAGACACAGAAAGAGAGCACAGCATGACACAGGGCGGGAGGCAGATGCCAATGGCCAGCATGGGAAGGAGCAGCCCGGTGAGCACGGAGCCCAGCAACGGCCACCCTATTCTCCAAACCCGGGCAAATTTCCCTGCCAGGGAATGAAAGGGAACATGCTGCTGGTAAAAGAGAGGAAAAAAATCCTGGCTTTGGAAAAGATCAGGATTGTATTTATAAGAACAATGACAACAACGATAGTGGAAATTCCTTTCCGTCACAGCTTTGTTTCTGGGATGAGTAAACTGAGGTGAAGAGCAGGGCCCAGAGCTAGATCGTGGCAGAGGGGATTGGGACCCGAGTATCTCTGATGCTCCTTCATTTTTATTTTATTATTATTTTATATTTTATTTTTAAATTTAATTTACTTTTATTATTTTATTTTATTTATTTTACTTTTTGATACAAGGTCTCGCTGTATTACCCGGGCTGGAGTGAAGTGGCACAGTCTCGGCCTGCTGTAACCTCCACTTCCCAGGTTCAAACGATTCTTGTGCCTTAGCTTCCCGAGTAGCTGGGATAACAGGCGCCCACCACTATGCCTGGCTAATTTTTCTATTTTTAGTAGAGATGGGATTTTACCATGTTTGTCAGGCTGGTCACAAACTCCTGACCTCAAGTCTCAAGTGATCTGCCTGCCTTGGCCTCCCCCGTGCTGGGACTACAGGTGTGAGCCACCTGGCCCAGCCCATCTACCTGTTTTCTATCACAGCACTCTGCTGCCACGCTCCATAGATGCCCCCATAGCGCCCCCAGAGAGTGCTCATCACCCAAACGGACTCCTGAAAGACACAGTAACAGAGGAGCAGTAAGAAGCCGAGGAGGAGAATGGACAGATACAAGGAAATCTGCAGCACGGAGGTCACTCTTGGCGCAGAGATGGGTCTGGAGCTCCCGCAGGTCTTGCATGGTCAGTTGCTGACTTCCCACCTAGACTCCGGGCACCAACTCCTTGGAAGACGCTGTCCAGCTGGCCATGATTCCATCTCTTCTGGCGAAGGGGCTGCAGGCCCCGGGGATTTCTCAGCTACTATGAGGTCACAGACTTCCCGTGGTAGAACCTTGTCTTCTCAGCTACAATCCAATCCTTTGCAACCAGTAGGTTGAAAGCAGGACTCCTGATATGTCTGCTTAGACTTGCTAAGTGGAAGTGTCTCTCCCCTATCCCTAGAAAAATATCAGGCAAAGCGTTATAATTTTTCTGATCATTCTTAGATAATAAAAAGTCTTGCAATCACTAAATATGGAAAACACAGTTTCCATTCAACAATTTTATTTTATTATTTTTTAATAATACACCAGTAGGGTCAGGTGTGGTGGCTCACGCCTGTAATCCCAGCACTTTGGGAGGCTGAGGCGGGTGGATTACAAGGCCAGGAGTTTGAGACCAGCCTGGCCGATATGGTGAAATCCCATCTCTACTAGAAACACAAAAAAATTAGCCAGGTGTGGTGGTGCACATCTGTAATCCCAGCTACTCAGGAGGCTGAGGCAGGAGAAGTGCTTGAACCCGGGAGGCGTAGGTTGCAGTGAGCCGAGATCGCACCGTTGCACTCCAGCCTGGGTGACAGAGCGAGACTCAGTCTCAAAAAACAAACAAACAAACAAACAAACAAAAAGTCTGGGCATGGTGGCTCAAGCCTGTAATCCCAGCACTTTGGGAGGCCGAGGTGGGTGGATCACTTGAGGTCAGGAGTTCGAGACCAGCCTGACCAACATGGTAAAACCCCATCTCTACTACAAATACAAAAATTAGCTAGGCACGGTGGCATGTGCCTGTAATCCCAGCTACTCGGGAGGCTGAGGCAGGAGAATCGCTTGAACCCAGGAAACGGAAGTTGCAGTGAGCTGAGATCACACCACTGCACTCAAGCCTGGGTGACAGAGCAAGACTCTGTCTCAAACAAACAAACAAAAAATCCAGAATTAGTTACAGATCTGCTGAATTCATTCAACAAGTTTAAATGTTCAGTCTAATGCATTATTATGTTTTCAATGATCTTTCATAGGTAAGACATTTCTCCACCAGCTGGGGCGACATACAGGATGGGCTGCTGTCTGCTGGGGTGGGGACATGGGCCTTCTCTCTTCATGTATCCAGATATGTTTCTCTTCAATAGGAATTTTCTGTCCATTTACCCACTCTCAATACTTTCAGGATCAAACCAGGTGGAGTAAAGGGTAAGGAGAGGGGAGACGTCTCATCTGGTGCTTTTGCAAGAAGCCCACACCATCTCCAAGCTAGGGAGATGTTTAATCCTGATTATTACTCTCTTTTTCTTTTAAGTTATCTCCTTCCTCAGTTCTGCATCTGTCCAGCATCTTCCTTTGGAAGGCAGCCGCTATTTTATCACAGAACCTTCAAAAACTGCCAATACTCAAATCAATTTTTGCCTATCACAACAGCAATTTTATTGCATTTTTAATTTTCTTTCTTTCTTTCTTTCTTTCTTTCTTTCTTTCTTTCTTTCTTTCTTTCTTTCTTTCTTTCTTTCTTTCTTTTCTCTCTCTCTCTCTCTCTCTCTCTCTCTCTTTCTTTCTTTGGATGGAGTTTCACTCTTGTCACCTAGGCTAGAGTGCAATGGTGTGATCTTGGCTCACTGCAACCTCTGCCTCCTGGGATCAAGTGATTCTCGTGCCTCAGCCTCCTGAGTAGCTGGGATTACAGGCACCCACCACCACGCCTGGCTAATTTTTGTGTTTTTGGTAGAGATGGGGTTTCACCATGTTGGCTAGGCTCGTCTCAAACTCCTGACCTTGTCATCCGCCTGCCCTGGCCTCCCAAAGTGCTTGGATTACAGGCATGAGCCACCACACCCGGCCTCATTTGTTTCTTGAGATGCAATTGTATATGGTTATTCCCTCTATCTTGGTGCCTCCTTTCTCCTTTCCTTGATGTGTCAGCTGAAACTTCCTTTTTTTTTGTTTTTTTGAGATGGAGTCTCCCTCTGTCGCCCAGGCTGGAGTGCAGTGGCTCCATCTTGGCTCACTGCCAGCTCCGCCTCCCAGGTTCACACCGTTCTCCTGCCTCAGCCGCCTGAGTAACTGGGACTACAGGCGCCCACCACCACATCCGGCTAATTTAACATCCTGTTCCACTACTGTGGAACAAGCATCAACCACTCCTCTTAGGTGCCGATCCTGCTATAGGCACTGGGGCTGCAGGAATGAACCTGCCAAGGTGCCCTCCTTAGTGTTATGGGAATAAGGAGTGCAAAAGAAAATCTGGAACTACAGAAAATCTGCAGTTCTGCCTGTTTCCAGCTTTCTGAGGGCACCTTGGCCTTAATTGCTAGCTCCTAAGATTCAGCTCGGTGAGGCCTCAATCTGAATATGCAGGAGGCCAAGCCCTTTCAGGCTCATAGGTGGGGCGGCAGAGGCGGGCATGGGTTGTGGTTGCACTCAGCCTCCTGTTTGCTGTGTCTCTTCCAGCTCCAAAGGGGTGATGAGAGCCAGATTGCCTTAGATCTGTGGTGGGGAGTAGAGCAGCAACTAGCCACATGTGGCTACAGAGCACTGGAAATGTGGCCAGTCGGAATTGTAATGTGCCATAAATGTAAATCACACACCAGATTCCAAAGACCTCATACAAGAAAAAGAATAGTAAATAGCTCATAAGTAATTATAAAATATTGATTACATGCTGACATGATAATATTTTGGTTATATTCAGTTAAATAAATTATTACAATTAATTTTCTTTTACATTTTATCTTTTTTTTTTTTTTGAGATGGAGTTTCGCTCTTGTTGCCCAGGCTAGAGTGCAATGGGGAGATCTTGGCTTACCGTAACCTCCGCCTCCTGGGTTCAAGCGTTTCTCCTGCCTCAGCCTCCAGAGTAGCTGGGATTACAGGCACGCACCACCATGCCTGGTAATTTTGTATTTTTAATAGAGATGGGGTTTCTCCATGTTGGTTAGGCTGGTCTCGAACTCCTGACCTCAGGTGATCCGCCTGCCTCAGCCGCCCGAGTACCTGGGACTACAGGCGCATGCCACCAGGCCCGGCCAAGTTTTGTATTTTTAGTAGAGACAGGGTTTCACCATGTTGGTTAGGCTGGTCTCAAACTCCCGACCTCAGGTGATCCGCCTGCCTCAGCCTCCCAAAGTGCTGCGATCACAGGTGTGAGCCACTGCGCCCGGCCCTGCATTACATTTATATTGGACGATGCTATCTTTCTCTTTCTTTTTCTTTTTTGAGACAGGGTCTCGTTCTGTCAACCTGTCTGGAGTGCAGTGGTGTGATCTTGGCTTACTGCAGCCTCAACTTCCCAGACTGAAATGATTCTCCCATCTCAACCTCCTGAGTAGCTGGGACTACAGGACTGCTCCACCATGCCTGGCTGACAATGCTATCTTAGACTTTTCAAACACAGCACATTTCCTCTGCTTCATAAATAATCCCAGGGTCCTTACAGTGACAGAAGCCCTCAGCTTTCTCAGAATACTACAATACAGCAACTACTAGGCCTGGGATATTTGTTCTGGTGCTACGGTCTTGATATAAATCATTTCATTTAATTCTCACAGTAACGCTATGAGCAGGGAACTATGACTGCCTATTTTCCGTAACTGGAAACTAAGGCTGGGCGGAGAAGTTAGGTTACTTAGCCAAAGTCACATGGAGAGTAACAGCAAGAGTAGGAGGCAGAAGAGGACACCAGGGTTGTGTGGCCACAAGTGTGCACACCTGACCCCCCTGCCCAGTGTCCTCTCAGTCACAGCATCTGTATTAGTCCATCCTCACGCTGCTATAAAGAACTGCCTGAGACTGGGTAATTTATAAAGGAAAGAGGTTTAATTGACTCACAGTTCAGCATGGCTGTGGAGGCCTCAGGAAACTTACAATCATGGCAGAAGGGGAAGCAAACACGTCTTTCTTCACATGGTGGCAGCAAGGAGAAGTATAGAGCAAAAGCGGGGAAAGCCCCTTATAAAACCATCAGATCTCATGAGAATTCACTATCACAAGAACAGCAGCATGGGGGTAACCGCCCCCATGATTCAATTACCTTCCACGACAGGTGGAAATTATGGGAAGTACAGTTCTAGATGAGATTTAGGTGGGGTCACAGCCAAACCATAGCAGCATCCCACAGCCCCTCCCCATCACAGAGACTCCCAATGTTCTTACAGTCTTGGAATCCCATAGGCCTCTCCCAGGTACAAAATATGGAGCAGATCTCACCTTAAGGACCCCCATTTCCCTCATGGTCGCGTAGGTCAGGCCTGGATTTTCTTGTCCTTCTGACCTATTGAGTACCAAGAATCTGACTGGAGCAGAGTGTGTGGGCTCCTCATCAGGCCCAAGGGTGGGCTGCTTGCACTCCAGAACATGGGCAGAGTCAGTAGCAGGGCTGTCTCAGGCCCAAGAGGCACACCCTGCCCAGGATGCAGACAGTGCCAGTGCTTATGAGAATTTGTGGGCCATTAAGTCCCCTCCCAAGATTGTCTCCAGTATGCTGCAGAGAACATGGGACATCTGTCTATAGTCTCCGTCACTGTGCAAATCTGATCAAGTTCCTCATATGCAAATCTTCAAGTTCAGAGACTCTTTCCACCCTCCATCCCGTGTACTTCGAGGCTGGAGTTTAGCAAAGCAGTTACCTGCTGTGCTCCCCTCTTGGCTCATCTTCTCACCCTCACATTCCAGTCTCTGGCCATGACTCAGTCATCTCAGCCTGACATCGTTCAGAAAAAAATGAATGGGGTGGGGGTAGAATGCATTCATTCAACGGTGCTAGCCACTGAACTGGGTACCGAGTACAGTGGTGAATCAAAGAGACGCCTTTGAACTCTTGCAGAAAGAAGTTCAAACTAAGCACAGTCCCCTCATCGTAGTAACAGCTCCTATCATGGAAAATTGGCCATTCCTACAGATTAATAAGAGTCAGTGACCAAGGAACATCTTCAGAACAAACAGAAAAGCAAAGCAAGTGGGAGAAGATTACATCAGGCTGTTTTCGAAATTTATCCCAAGTCCTCCAGAGTCTGGAGTTGAGCTGCGCTCCGCCAGAGGACGCTGCAGGGCTGCTCGCGTCAGTTCCTTCCGCTCTAGGCCGCAGTTCGCGCTCTCGTCTGTATTTCCGCCGGCGCGAAACCGGTGTAGCTCGCTAGTTGTGTGGCATCGGTCTTTCGCCGTCCCTCGCTATCGCACGCCATCACACACCATCACACACCATCGCAAGCCACCGCACCCCATCGCTCGAAATCTGCAGACATCTTGATTTTTCCCGCGCTGTCTGTCAGGTCTCCGTCGCCACTCGACGCCAGGGCGCCGGGTGAGTCCACAGCAGGGCGCGCGGTCTGCGACACTCTCACCATCGGGGAAAACAGGCCCCAGGGAAGGTGGCCAGAGAGGTCAGGCCCGGTCCCTGGTGCAGTGCCTCGTCCCCTTTGCTGGAGTGAGCCCCCTGGGATTCGCGTGTCCTCGGGAAAGACACTGGCGGATGAGCCGCGCCCTCGGCCGCCGCTGTGCTGAGCCGGCCACGTGCAGACGTCCTGTCCGCGCAGCTACTCTGCGGGTCTCGGCGACTTTAGGTGCCCGCCCCCGACTCCTGGCATTGGAAGTCCCCAGAGCCACTTGTCTTTTGCCTACAAAGTGTCAGTCATTGTGCCATGTCCTTGGGACCGTTAACTCGTTTTCCCCTCAGTACCTTTTAAAAGGTGTTAGAACCTTCATTTTACAGAGCAGTTAGCTGTGGTTTAAATGGAAGACGCTCCCAGCACCCCAGTGGGGCAGAGTGTGGACTTCTGTCCCCGGGCCTTGTCCTAAAGCCCCCTCCCCGTGCTCTTTCCCTGCCTAGGCCTTGTGGGCTGTGCTGCTCCTCGGAGGGCTTGGCAGCAGCCAGCGCCCCCTCCTGCAGCACTCTGATCTGCACCCCCTGAGCGGCGTCCACTGTCCGCGGGGTGAGAATGCCCTGGCTGAGTGCCGCTGCTTATGCGCACCGTGGGGAAGGACCCTTCTGTGGGACCCAGTAGAGGGGACGGTCAATGAGCTCAGCCAGTTCTGAGTTCTGAGAACTGTCTGGCAAAGCGGGTGCAGAGCAAAGCGTGATTTAGGAGACAGGGGCTGGCCTTGGGGGTCACATCCTGGCTAAGATCCTTCATTCTCCTGAGGGTGACTTTCTGTAAAGTAGGGAAACTGCAAAAGCTCTCCGAGGGCAGAGGCCTTGGCTGTTTTTCTTGATTTTAAACCCATAGTGCCTGTCCACGTGTAGATACTCAGAATTGGTGGGCTGAGTGTACAGCCGGGGCATTTTTACCAGAAGTCAGTTTTCCTGTGGACTCTGGGTGGGGACAGATGGAATCTGCCTGTGAAGTGATGATGGCTGTCAGGGTCCTGGGTACCTTTCTCTTCCCTGGGGAGTGAGCACCCCTTTGGAGATGTGGCAGCTAACATGCGAACGTGGGCTCACCTGCCCTTTTTTGCACCTGTATTCGAAAGTGATCGTGGGCTGCCTGTGCCCTGGTCATTGATAGTGCAGGGAGAGAAATCGCTGAAAGCGCTTCCCCGTGTTTGGAGGGTCCACTCCTGTCCCTTCCAAACTCTGGAGCTTTCTCACACCTCCTTCTCACCATCTGTCAAATGCCTCCTGGCGCTTGGTGTCTGATGATTATTGAGTGCTCCCTGTGCAAGGCTCAGTGCCGGTGTCTGTAAGGCGTTCACCAAGGTGTATGAGGGTGTGTCCCTGCCTCAGGATTGGTGGTGGAACCACAGCTACAGCTCTGCTAGTCACACCCTGTGGCAATTACTGGCTTGATTGTCTTTGCCTCTATATTTTGACCTTGAGGGCAGTGTCTTGAGCTTTTGTTTAATATTTTATTGTATTTGTTTAGTGACAGGGTCTCACTCTGTTGTCCAGGCTGGGGTGCAGTGTGCAGTGGCGTGATCATAGCTTGAACTCCTGTACGCAAGTGATCCTCCCACCTCAGCCTCCCAAATAGCTGGGACAGACAGGGTCTCGCTATGTTTCCCAGGCTGGTCCTGAACTGGCTATAAGTGATTTTCCCTCTGTCTTCCAAAGTGCTGGAATTACAGGTGTGAACCACTTCGCCTGTCTCAGTATCTGAGTCGTGTCTCTTGACTTACCTGGTGCTTGGCAGATGGTTGATTTTCAGCAGTTAAGGAACAAATGAAAAACAGGAGATGGGCTGAGCACGGTGGCTCACACCTGTAATCCCAACACTCTGGGAGGCCAAGGTGGATGGATCCCTTGAGGCCAGGAGTTCAAGACCAGCTTGGCCAACATAGTGAAACCCCATCTCTACTAAAAAATACAAAAACTAGTAGGTTGTGGTGGCACATGCCTATAATTCCAGCTACTCAGGAGGCTGAGGCACACCAGAATCGTTTGAACACAGGAGGTGGAGGTTGCAGTGAGCCAAGATCACGCCCCTGCACTCCAGCCTAGGCTACAGGGTGAGACTATGTCCCTAACAAAAAACAAAACACAGGAGCTGGAAAAAGACAATTGTGGCTGGCCGTGGTGGCTCACACCTGTAATCCTAGCATTTTGTGAGACTGAGGTGGGTGGATCGCTTGAGCCCAGGAGTTGAAGACCAGCCTGGGCAACATGGCAAAAACCTGTCTCTATAACACACACACACACACACACACACACACACACTGGCCAGGTGGCATGCGCCAGGAGGTGGAGGTTGCAGTGAGCCGAGATTGTGCTACTGCATTCCAGCCTGTGCTGCAGCCTGGACTGCATTCCAGCCTAAAGACTTAGAATTGTAAGGTGACAGGGCTTTGCATGTCACCTTGTTGCATGTCAGTGGAATACTTTTGAGCGAGGCAGCCTGTGTGGGGGTGGTCAGAGCTATTTCCCACTGGCCCAGTGGTCATCCCATGGTGTTCCCCTTGACGGTCTTGTCCGTGGGCCACCAGGATGAATTTCCCCACAGGATTGTCATTGTGATGTCAAGGACCAAAGCCAGAGGTGTAGGTAGGCATGGCTGATAGAAGAGTGAGATGTGTAATCAGCCCTGACCCACAGATGACAGATGGGCCATCCTGCCCGAAATAGCCCTTACTGTGTATGCCAGACTCCGCCACGCTGGTGTGCCACACCAGAACCTGTCCTAGGTTCAGAGTCCCCTTCAGTATACTGCTTCAGGATCACAAATTCAACAATATGTGCATAAGATGAGACTTAAGCTGTCCCTGATGTGTGGTTCTTCTCTAGACGAACTCTTTTCGTGTTGCTGAGACCGTGAACCACTGTTAACACCAGCCAACTTTTAGGAAACGTTTACCACCTGGTTCTGTGCCAGTCTTCTCCTTGTCCTTTCCAGAACAAGTTTGACCAGGTGACGTCTAGATAGCTTATCCAGGGCTTCTTGATTCTGGCAGAGGAGGTTGATTGGTGCAGAGGGGCCCATGAGAGGTGTCTCCGTCCTGCCGGGAAGCAGGTGGACCATGGTGTTCCACGAGGTCTGTCCTCTGGAGATCTGGGGCTTTGTGTCCCGCAAGAGTGGGTGCATGCAGGTTCCTTGGGCGTGACGTCTGGGAAGTAGACAGAAGTGAGGTGAGGGTGTCTTTGTGCTGGCCCCAGTTTTACCCTCTTTGGGGCCATCATGAACGCATTGGGTTTCTCTTGTGCCTGCTTAGGTTTAGTGTCTTCAGGGATCCCTTATCATTGTTGTGTCTTGGAATATCTGACTCAAAAGCTGGAGGGCTTTGGCATCAAACCTACTTGTATCCTGGTCCTGAACGCCTTACCACCACTCCCTAGCTTTGGTTCTTTTTATGATCCTCAGTTTCCTCATCTGGAGAACAGGAGTACACTGAGGTGATTTTTCTTAGGATCACACAGTCCCTGTCTTCCACGTCCGAAGAACTCTGCCAGCTTCTCATCTGGAGGGTCTTTCCTTTACCTCTCCTGGTTGGGGCAGGTTGCATTTATGTGGGACAAGACGGAAGCTGCTTCATCCTGTGCTCTGCTGTGCCACTGTCCCGGCTCAGGCCATTTTCCAGGCTTCTGACACTGGTCTCCGATTTCAACAAGCCCTGGATCTTTTTCTGCCCCTGTGTGCAAAGTGATTACAGGCTGCTTGTGTCTTGGTTATTGGTAATAAAGGAAAAGTTACAAGGTTTTCCTCTTGTGGAGAGGAACCATTGTCCATTTCAGACGGGACAACCTCAGGGGACTGTGTCAGTGACCCGAGATGGGCTAGACAAGCTGTCAGTACATTCGCCTCCTGAGACCCTGATTCCCCAGGTGTGTTTTCTGTGGGTGAATGTTGTGGTTTCCTGGACTTGCCATAAGCAGTGTCAAGTGCATCAGTCACATCTTGGCTTCTTATGCTCCACAGGAGTGTCACACGACTGCTGCCCCATGTGTGTGAGAGGTATCCCCTGGGAGAGCATGGATTCTGAGGTCCCAGGTAAGCGGGGTTCTGCTCGGTTCCCTAGAGCTCGAGTTCTCTGCAGGCTGTGAGGCCAGAGGTGGTTGGGTGCTGAGGGGTGGGGAGCGAGGGCACAGGTGAAGGCTGCTTCACTTTGCTCCCGTCTTTGCTTCCTCAGCAGGCAGGGACGGGTTTGGACCCTCTTCTGCCTTCAGGGGCTGCTGCCGAGAAGGTGCTCCCTGAGCTTGATTTGGGCTCTGAGAGTCCTTGAGAAAGACCCTGTAATGTTGAGAGGAAAACCGTGTGTTGGAATGGACAGAGGGTCTGCGTTTCCGATTCAAGCCTGGATTCATACCCAGTGGCTGGCTGAGTGGTCTTCTGTGAGCCTCAGTGGAACAGATAGCCAATGTTGCTACCCTCCAGCCCAGTCTGTCTGTTTTATTTATTTATTTATTTATTTATTTATTTATTTATTTATTGAGACAGAGTCTCGCTCAGTCGCCCAGACTGGAGTGCAGTGGCGTGATCTCGGCTCACTGCAACCTCCACCTCCCGAGTTCAAGTGATTCTCCTCCCTCAGCCTCCTGAGCGTTTGGGATTACAGGTGCCTGCCATGACGCCTGGCTCGTTTTTTGTATTTTTAGTAGAGATGGGGTTTCACTGTGTTGATCAGGCTGGTCTCGAACTCCTGACCTCTGGTGATCCACCCGCCTCAGCCTCCCAAAGTGCTGGGATTACAGGTGTGAGCCACTGTGCCTGACCAATTTTTATTTTTATTTTTATTTTCTTTTGAGACAGAGTGTCTCTGCGTTGCCCAGGCTGGAGTGCAGTGGCGCAATCTTGGCTCACTGCAACCTCCGCTTTCTGGGTTCAAGTGGTTCTCCTGCCTCAGCCTCGCGAGTAGCTGGGATTACAGGTGCCCGCCACCACGCCTGGCTAATTTTTTTTTGTATTTTTAGTAGAGTTGGGGTTTCACCGTATTGGACAGGCTGGTCTGGAACTCCTGACCTCAGATGAGCCACCTGCCTCGGCCCCCCGAAGTGCTGGGATTACAGGCGTGAGCCACCGCGCCCGGCCAGCCCAGTCTTTGAGAAGAGCCCCAGGCTTCTCAATATTTCTGCCGGTGTTTACCTTCCTTTCAGCTTCTGGCAGGGAGTGGTAAGTGATCTTGGGGAATCAGAAGTCGCACCTGTAATCTTAGGCTGTAAGTCTGCTCGTTGCAATGTCAGCGGTTCTGTTCTAGGTAAGACCATTGCCCAGAACGCTGGCAGTGGCCTCCTTTCTGGGCTTGCCCTCTGCGCTTTCTGACCCTGCATTCGAAAGTGATCATGGGCTGCCCGTGTCCTGGTCATTGGTGGTGCAGGGAGAGGAACTGCCGGGAGCACTTCCCCGTGTTTGGAGGGTGCGCTCCTGTCTCTCCCAACCCCCGGAGCTTTCCCACACCTCCTCCCTCCCACCACCTCTTCGATGCCTCCTGGTGCCTGGCATCGTCTACTGAGTTGTGTTGCTCTTCTCCCTGGCCCAGGGCACGTTAGTGTGAGACGTGAGGGAAGGGTGTGAGGTGAAGGGTTTGGCCTCAAGGAGCAGAAGGGCTGGGTGTGGAGCTGAGACAGGGCAGCCCTGCTCCTTCCTCCCGGAAGCTTTCTCTGCCTCCACACCTCTCCTTCCGCGTCCTTATCCAACCCCCTCTGCACCAAGCTGACCCCACAGAAATTGTTGCCTGACTTGTCTCCTGGCCCTCTTTGCTGTGGTCTTAAGGGTAGTGTCTGAATTTTGTTCCCTACTTTGTTCTGTCTGCCAGATGGTCAGTATTCCGACAGCGTGGGACAAAGGATAAACTGCAGCCTGAGCAACCCCGCCTCTATAAGAACTAAAAATTGGCCATGCGTGGCGGTACCTGCCCCTGTAGTCCCAAGTACTCAGGAGGTTGAGGCAGGAGGCTCTCTTGAGCCCAGGAGGTCAAGGCGGCAGTGAGCCATAGGCGTGCCACTGCACTCAGCCTGGGCAACAGGGTGAGACCCTGTCTCAAGAAAGAACAACAAGAAAGGGTGAGTCCCTCCATTGTTAGGAGATGGGTTCATTGCATTTTGTGGTGTTGGAGAAAAATACTGAGTCAGCACCTACGTGGGATTGGTGGGAGCAGATTTCCCCTTCAGAGGATTCTGAGGTGACTCAGTTCTGTTGGTCTTGACCTTACATGGCCACTGGGGAGGATTTTCGCCCCAGCTTGTGGGGAAAGGAATCAAGGACCAGAGACAGGCAGGGGAGAGTATCACTGAGGGATTTATGGCAGCAGCCTCCACACGGCTTCCCCACTACCTCCTCGGTGCTCGCCAGACGCTGCTGGAGAAACAGCACAGTCAGTCCCAAGAACATCACGGTCCCAGCATCCTCTTGAACTTAGTAACAGTTGGCCTGACAGATGAAGCGGTTGTCATCCCTGCCTTAGAAGTTCTCCAGCCCCCTTTCTTAGAGATGAGCTGCTGTTTCGTTCCGGCTATTCAGGTGAAAACAGTTTAGTCAGCATTTTCGCAACACTGTGTAGAGAGGCTTGGTGAGAGGTGTTGGGACGCAGGAGAGTGGCAGACCGCAGGGCCCAAGGTAAGGTTTCGGGTCCATCTCTGGAACTTTGGCTTTTTGCACCCTATAAAGTCACGTTCCCTTATTTCTGGTGCTTTAGTGGTGATGTAGGAAGAGGTGAGGATGAGAAGAGGGGCCGCATCCCATGGATTCCCAGATCCAGACTCCTCTTCCCTGGGAAACCTGGATTGGAGCTGGCCCTCCTGTGCCTTCAGGGGCTGTGGAGGAGGAGGCGCCTGCAGGGACCTGCCCGGGGCGAGTGCTGGGGCTTTTCCTGCAGTGCATCAGCAGCAAGTCATAATGGAAAATGGCTGGATTAAGGGCCGTCCGTATCTGGCCCTTAGTTCTTCCTCTGCCACCACCTGGCTCTGACCATTTTCTTTCCAGTTGCAATCAATGGTTTAGATTTATCCTAGCGACCCTGTAGGGGTCCACAGCCAAATGACTCAGGAAAAATGATGCAGATTGAGTCTGGAGGAATCCCTGTGCCGGCTTCCTCATGTTCTCTCCCTCCCTCAGAAATACGTGGAACCCACTCTCCCCTCAGCAGTGAAAATGCTTTCAGCCTGTGTGCAGTGTTTCTGCCCAGGGAAGCCCAGTAGGGACTCCATGCCCGGGGTTTTTACTGGGAGCTGGTTATGTAGACACCATCGGCCTAGCATGCACCAGAATTCCAGACTTCCAGGAGGAAAACAGGCACCTGTACCACATTATTTGCATAGAGAGACTGTGTCCAGTGAATAGCTCTGATCAGTAAACTGTTGACTGGGAACATCTCTAGAGCCAAGTTCCCAGATACCAGCAAAGGGCCATCTGACCTGTTTTGAATCTCAATTTCCTGATACAGAAAACAAAGGTAGGGCAGAATTGATTTTTACGACGTGACCTCATGATCCTGCTCTCTAGTCCCCAGATTTTTCCAGGGCTTTTGTCAGAGGTGTCTCCCCTTTGATTCCCTTTGGTGGTTGGGTTTTATGGGATTTTGCAGGACAGATGGCAGCTGCAGGAGTCTTGTACTGTCCCTAACTTGGGTCATCCCACAGGCCCTGGTGCCATCCTCCTGCTCTTCCTGACTCTCCTTGTGTCCTTTTCTGCTCCTGCATCCGAAAGTGATCATGGGCTGCCTGTGCCTAGGTCATTGATAGTGCAGGGAGAGGAACACCGGAAGAAGTTGTCCCCGTGTTTGGAGGGTCCACCCTATCCCATCCGAACCCTAAAGCTTTCACACACTCTTGTTTGTCTCCTGCCAGCCCTTGAGGAGTCTGGTGCTTTCTTGGCTGCCACATGAGAGTCAGTGCTGGGGGACATCATGCTTAGGTCTTTCTCAGCTTGACCTCTCTTTGCAGAAACCAGGCTCTGTGTATTGAGGGGTGGATCTGGGTTGTAGAGCATCAGTCCGGCTCATGGGAAGGGAATGTGATGTATAGTGAGTTGTGGTGCATCGCGGTGGATAGCACAGTTTTGAATGAGTGCAATATTGGCATGTACAGTGATATCCACAGAATTTCCATGAAGTAACTTCCTGAAGGTGGTTTCTATAGCACTTGAATAGGAGGGGAGGTGAGGAGCACATGTACCAGGGAAGAGGGGACAACATGAGGGAGACTTTGAGGTTGGGGTGAGCAGGGCTGACCGTGTGTATGTGTGTAACTTGGGGACAGGATAGGGTAACATCTTTACATCTTTACATGTCATTGGCCTGGAATAGGGGGTCCTGAAGGGTTTGTCATAAGAAAGAGAAAGTGTTCATTGCTGCAAGGGCAGCATAGCTGTGTTCTGAGAGGCAAAACACTTCCCTCACTTCCCACCCAAGAGTTTCGCCTGCTTTCTTGCCCCTCTGAGGTGTGCATTGGTGTCACTCACTGGCCACCGTTCCAGCTCTTAATTCCTCTGCCTTTTGTGCTGGCCTTCAGGGCTCCCCTGAGGGTGACTGGTTCTCAGGTTGGCTGGAGGAATGGGTGGAGTTGTAAGATCAGGAATAAAGCTAGAGAGGGAGGACCAAGTGGAAGTCACTGATGCAGCTGCCTTCTAGCCTACCCCACCCTAATTGAGAGGTCGCTTTTTCCTGTTGAACATGTTGGATAGTGGGGTGTGTTATAAGAAGTGATGTGTGTGGCTTCTTGTCATTGCAGGATTGTCAGCTGACCTCTGTCCTGTGGGCCCAGTGGCCCCAGGTGACATTTCTTCAAGAAGAGGCTGAACTGTGGTGCTTGTAAGGTATGAATCTTGGGTGCTTCTCTAGAGAATGCACTGGTGTTCAGGCTGCAAGGACGAAGGCTTTGAGGTCACTAGAGGGGAGGCAGAGGCTGCTTCCCATTGCTTGCTCCTCCACTGAGGCCCACAGGGACATGTGACACCCTCTTTTCCTCCTCTGCCACTCCACTGTGTGAAGCACGGTGGGGTTACAGAGCTCCCCTTGGGCTCTGAGTCATCCTAGTGTGGATTGGCCTAGTTTGTTGAAGTGGGAGGAGTACTGCCTTTTGGAGGCAGGCAATTAACTAGTGGTTTTCTCTGGACTTGGTGGCAATCTTTGTTATCAAGTGATTTATGGATTTTTTTTTTTTTTTTTTGAGACAGGGTCTCACTGTCACCCAGCCTGGAGTGCAGTGGTGCAGTGATGGCTCACTGCAGCCTCAACCTGGGCTCAAGTGATCCTCCACCTCAGCTTCCCGAGTTGCTGGGACCACAGGTACATGCTGCTGCACCCAGCTAATTTTTAAAATTTTTCTGTAGAGGCGGAGTCTCACCATGTTGCTCGGGCTTGTTTTGAATTCCTGGGCTCAAGCAATCCTTCCACCTTTTCTTCCCAAAGTGCTGGGATTATGGATAGTAAGCCCATGCCTGGCCGATGTATGGATAGTAGTATCACACAATCCTAACTTCCTAAGCCAGTGAATTCTCAACGTTTCACCCAGAGTTGATCTTCCTTTTCATTATCTTATGAGGGAAGCATTGGAGTAGTGGTTCTCAAACTGTGGTCCCAGAACCAGGCACCATCCCTATTACTTGGGAACTTGTAAGAAGTGCAAGTGCTTAGCCCTGTCCCGACCTACTACATCAGAAGTTTTGGGGCTGGAGCCAGCAATCTGGCTTAACATGCTCTCCAGGTGATTCTTACTCGTGCTCAAGTTTGAGAAATCAAAGCATGTTAGAAATCTTTGAGAATCAGAAGCAGCTGCTGCAATTCTAGGCTGCGAATCTGGTCACTGACTTGTTTCCAGGTCTCTTAGTTTGGGTTCTTCCTAAGCTGCTGGCAATGCCTCCCCTCTCAGCTCACTCACTGCCCTGTTTTGCCCCCTGTATTCGAAAGTGATCGTGGGCTGCCTGTGCCCTGGTCATTGATAGTGCAGGGAGAGGAATCAATGAAAGCACTTCCCCGTGTTTGGAGGGTCCACTCCTGTCCCTTCCAAACTCTGGAGCTTTCGTACATGTCTTTATTCTCATCAGTGATGTTACCTCCTGGTTCCTGGTTGTCGTGCCAGACCCCTGTTTCCTCATTAGGGATGGCGCCAGGTTCAACAGGCCGGAGAAGAGACCTGGAGCCAGTGAAGGAAACAGGGTTTATTTGGGGGAACTTAGAGGGCAGTTGGCAGTCTAGTGGTGGTGGGCTGGATGGGAGCACCTCATCCGCTTGTAAAAAGCATGCAGATTATATAGCACCTTCTCCCAGTAACCTCCACATGGCAACCTTCGTTTCCTAAGAAGCCATTGTTATGTCCATCTACCATACACTGGTGCTGTATGGTTCATTGAGTGCCCCTTGTGCCCAGCATGGTGGAGGGTGCTCAGAGGCTGAAGGAAAGGACGGTGAAGCAGAGACCTGCCTCACTGAGTTTATGTCTCTGAGCTGGTTTTGGAGCCACAATAGTGGTTACCCTTTCCTAGAGCTACACGCAGAAGCTCTCTCTGCCTCCCCATCACACTCCTTCCCACCTGTCAGCACTGGTCACACTGTCTGGGGATTCTTGGTTTGCTTCTCATGCCCCCTCTGCTGTGAGCTTCCTCAGGGCAGTGCCTCTGTCTTGTTTCACATCATGCCTGGTAACTGACATGTTGCACCTGGACACAAAGTAAATGAGAAGACACATTGTTGTAAGGTGACAAGCTTATCCCATTGAGCAGTGCTGGGGTTAAAAATGTCCTAGAGCAAGCCAGCTGTTACAGTCCACCTTCAGTCCTGGCCGTGAGCAGCGTCCGTGGTCCACCAGGGGTGGATTTTCCCTCTGGCCTTAGATTACAGTGGCAAGGGCTGGAGTAGTAATTGAGGGAGACAATGTGCAGTATAGTCAGATGTATGAACACAGCTCTTACACACTAGATGGTGGGCGTGGGGCTCTCCCATCCCACCTGTTCGTTACCCATCCCAGGTCTGTGCTGATCACTGCCAGACATAGCCTGCTCCAAAAGCCTTCTGGCCTCGGCATCCTTTTGTTTTTAATTTTTATTTTTAAGACAGAGTGTCGCTCTGTTGCCCAGGCTGGAGTGCAGTGGTGCAAACACAGCTCACTGCAACCTCTGCCACCCAGGTTCAGTGATTCTTGCGCTTCAGTCTCCCGAGTAGCTGGGATTAAAGATATACACCACCATGCCCAGCTAATTTTTGTATTTTTATTAGAGATAGGGTTTCACTATGTTGGCCAGGCTGGTCTCATGTGATCCACTTGCCTCAGCCTCCCAAAGTGTTGGGATTACAGGCGGGAGCCACCACACCCAACCTGTTGTTAAAATTTTTATTGTCTATATTTGAAGTTTACAACATGATGTTATAGAATAATGGGACGGATATAGATAGCACGGTGGTTACCGTGGTGAAGCCGATGAACATATCTGTCATCTCACATAGTCACCATTTTTAGTGTATGTGAGGAGCAGCTGAAATCTACTTAACAGAAATCCCTTATGTTGTGCATGAGCCATCTAAACTTACTCATCCTGTGTATCTGCTACTTGGTGTCCTTTGACCTACATCTCCTTATTTCCTCCAGCTCCTGCCCATGGTAATCGCCATTTTATTCTCTATCTGTGTATGCTTGACCTTTTTAAAATTTTTTTTTTTAACATTGCACACATAAGTGAGATATGCACTGTTTGTCTGTGTCTAGTTTATTTCGTTTAACATAGTATCCTCCAGGTCCATCCATGTTGTGGCAAATGACAGGATCTTTCTCTCTCTCTCTCTCTCTCTCTTTTTTTTTTTTTTTTTTTGAGACCGGGTCTCCCTCTGTTACCTGGGCTTAAGTGACCCTCCCACCTCATCCCCCTGGGTAGATGGGACTGCAGGTACATGCCACCATGCCTGGTTAATTTTTGTATTTTTTTTACAGATGGGGTTTCACGATGTTGCCCAGGCTGGTCTCCAACTCCTGGGCTCAAACCATCCTTCTGCCTTGGCCTCCAAAAGTGCTGGGATTATAGGCATGGGCCACCATGCCTAGCCCAGGGTCGTCGTCGTCGCCGCCTTTTTTTTTTTTTTTTTTTTTCTAAACTGGAGTTTTGCTCTTGTAGCCCAGGCTGGAGTGCAGTGGCACAATCTCAGCTCACTGCAACCTCCGCCTCCCAGGTTCAAGTGATTCTCCTGCCTCAGCCTCCCGAGTAGCTGGGATTACAGGTATGTGCCACCACGCCCGGCTAATTTTTTGTATTTTTAGTAGAGATAGGGTTTCACCATGTTGGTCAGTCTGGTCTTGAACTCCTGACCTCAGGTGATCCACCCACTTCGGCCTTCCAAAGTACTGGGATTACAGGTGTGAGCCACCGCGCCCGGCCAAGGGTCTTCTTTTTATGGGTGAATGTTTTGTTTTGTGTGTGTGTGTGTGTGTGTGTGCCACATTTTCTTTTTCCATTCATCTGTTGATGGTGACTTAGATTGTTTCTGTATCTTGGTGATTGGTAGTAATGCCGCAGTGAATATTGGAGTGCAGATGTCTTTGTGAGGTGTGATTTGATCTCTGTTGAGTGTGTGTCCAGAAAAGGGATAGCTGGGTCTATTTAATGTATACTGATAAGCAGCACACAGCGGGCACATCGGTTAGCATAGATGCCATTTCTCTCTCAGTCTGCCGACCCCTTCCTAGAGTTACGTTTTTCTTGTTCCTGAGACAATAATGTGGCTGTAAGTACTACTAGAGACAGTGGCATTTGTGGGATGCTTATGATCTGCCAGCCCCTGTGTTAAGTGTTCTCTGTGTCTGTTTCAGGTGGGTCCGCTGTGTGCCGAGGCTCCATGGGATGTGTCGTCTTCATAGCAGCAGGGCTCTGGACCATGGGTCCCTAAGGTGAGATTTTTAGACTGTTGTCTGGAATATGTTTTTTTGCATCCTACAGAGTCATATGCTATTCCTGGGGCTTGGATGATGTAGGGGAAACAAGGTAAAAGTGGTATCCCGTGGTTCCCCGTTCTGTCCTGCTGTGAGGCTGTCTCTCACATGCCTTCAGTGGCTGTTGCAGAGGAAGGGCCTCCAGAAATCTGGATGGGTAAAGTGAGTTCCCTGGGGGAACCTTCCTCCCTGCTTGAGCGCTGGTGTGTCCGCAGTATACTGTGATCTGGATTAGCAGTGAGTTTTTCATTCGGGGTGTGCGTGTATGATGTTAGGACCACATGCTCCTGACCTTTTCCAACCCAAAAGCATTTCCATTTTTTAAATGCTGAAAGTGTCTTGACTCCTTTTGGGGTCTTAGAAGTACACACAGTGGCGGTGGCTAGGCCTCTGCTCAGCTCAGCTGCTCTCCCTCTCTCAGGCCATTCCTCAGGCCCTTGACACCAGCCTCCCTCCCTTGCTGGCTCTCTTCTGTCCTTCCCTGTTCTTGTATCCAAAAATGACCATGGGTTGCCTGTGCCCTGATCATTCATAGTGCAGGGGTAGGAGTGCTAAGAGACGTTTTCCCTGCGTTGGCCCAGCCTTCCCTTTCAAACCCTGGAGCTTTCCCATGCTGCAGCCTTTTCCCTGCCAGCCCTTCAGAGCTTGGGCCTTTGTAGGCCCGTGTGATGTGATGACTAGACCCACCCGCTGACTTCTGAGGGTTCATTTTGTCTTTTCATGTTAGGGATCCTCCTGCCAGAAACCAGTCTGCATTTCTCTTTGGGCCCCACGCTGGCATGAATTCAGATAGCAGTGAAGGGCACACGTGAGAATTGTGAATCACGGGCTTTGCTTCATGAAATGTGAAATCCGTATTGTTTCTCCAGGCGCTATCAGTAATGTCGAATAAATGGAGAAAGTTGTAGGTGGGACTAGGAAAGCTGTATTCCTGTGGATCACTCTAGCTGGTCATTTGCCCCGATTGTGAACTGTTTGAAAGAAAAACAGAACTAAGATGTTTGTCCTTTTGTGTCCTTTCTGTTGGGATTTTTAATTTGGTGTGCCTGAATGAGGAGCTTTGCCCTGCTTGAATGGGACCCCTCTCCGTGGTGTCAGCTTGGGGAGGAGGAGATGGCCCTGGAGACTAAATACTTGTATGCTTTCTTACCCTCTTAGGTCTCAGCCTTAGATTCAAGGACAGTCCAAGGAAGTCCTAAGACCATGGAGTTGGTGACCTGGGATCTGGGTTTGCTGATATTTCTTACCATGGTGAGTTGATGCCAAGAGCTGGAACCCACAGCCAGAGGCCCGACTGGTCTGTGCTTATGCAGATGGGAACTTTGAATCACTGGTCTCACTTGTTCTCTGTTGCAGAATCTCTTGGTGGTGTTTATGGACACCAGAGGGGCAGAGAATAGAGAGTGAGGCCACCACATGAAGCGTCACCAGAGCTGCTCCCTGCTGCCTGCTCAGAGCACCCCGGATCCACTGTTCAATCTGCACAAGATTCGGGGTCCAGACGTGGGAGACTTCAGCTGCCTTGGAGGACCGTGGACAGGGAAGGCCAGCCCTGCATCCCTCTGGCCATGCCTGGAATGACTTTAATAACAAGAGTTTTATTCTTGAATTTGTAGCTGTCGTTCACTTTTTACCCACCCATTCAATAAACCTTACAGAATTGCTCCATCTGCCTCTTAAATCAGTGACAACCCGTGAGCCTGCAAGACTGGCTTTGGAGAAGGTAGGCCATAGGCCACATCTGATTTTCACTCTTTGAGCCTTTCCTATTCCTAATGCATATATTCTGGAGACTTGACTCAGAGGTTATTGTTCGAGGTGTACATTTGGAACTAGGAGGTGAACAAGTGCTGGTAGTTGGTTCACATTTAGGCATTTAGGACCCATGAGAATTGAGGGCATTGCAGAATAGTCAGGGTAGATTATGGAGTGAGACAGGTCCGATGTCATTCAGGAAGGCTGGAGTGTCCTGGATGACCTGGCTCATAAGTAAATGCCTACTTATGAGATCAACTATCCCAGTTTGCCTGAGATTGAGGGGTTTCCCAGAAAGTGGGTTTTTCATTGCTAAACCCAGGGAGATCCTGAGCAAACTGGGACAAGTTGGTCAGCATGTGTGGGATGTAAAATCCATGGTGTCAACTTGAGAGCCAGGTTATGGGGTAACAGTGGGAGTAGGGTGAACATGGAGCAGCTGCCGTTGATGGAACTGAGGGGTTCCCTTACAGTCAGGCTTTGGAGATTAGGGTACAGTCAGTTATTGCAAGGGCTAGGCATGGTGCCTTGTGCCTGTGTTACTAGCACTTTGGGAGGCCAAGGTGGGATGATTTCTTGAGGCCAGGAGATCAAAACCAGCCTAGGCAACAGATCCCGTCTCCACAAAAATTAGCCAGGCACGGTAGTGCACTCCTGTAGTCCCAGCTACTCAGGAGGCTGAGGCAGGAGGAGTGCTTGAGCCCAGGAGTTTGAGGATTCAATGAGTTAATGATGGCACCACTGCAGCCCAGCCTGGGTGGCAGAGTGAGACCTGTTTTTAAGAGAAAGAAAAATTGCAACAATGACATTATCTAAGGATGTGCGTGTGTGAACTCTCATCTCTTGATTTACAGAGGGAGGAATCTACACATGTCCCAAGGGCCATGGTGAAAAGGTGCAGTTAATCTCCCCACTTGAAGTTAAAACCACCTTGGCTGGAGCTGGGGCAAAAATCAGGCTGGTAAGCCTGTCTTGAATTTGGCACATTAATGGTCTGCCAGGCATTCTTTTTTTTTTTTTTTCTTGTTGTTTTTTGTTTTTGAGACAGTCACACTGTTGCCCAGGCTGGAGTGTAGTGGTGTGATCTTGGCTCACTGCAACCTCTGCCTCCTAGGTTCAAGCGCTTCCTATGCCTCAGCCTCCTAAGTAACTGGGACTATGCGCATGTGCTGCAACGCCCAGCTAATTTGTGTATTTTTAGTAGAGACGGGGTTTTGCCTTGTTGGTCAGCTGGTCTTGAACTCCTGACCTCAAGTAAACCGCCCGCCTTGGCCTTCCAAAGTGTTGAGATTACAGATGTGAACCACCATGCCTGGCCTAAGGGGCAGGCGTTCTTGATGTTTAAAGGCACCACACCACCAGTCGGTTCCCTGCAGAAGGATCCAGAAATCACAGGTCCTTTTTCTGCGTTGGCCTTTGAGGACCATCCTCTGACTTCTGTTTGCCACCTTTAGCCAACTGGCTGTGGCTGCTTGAACAGATGCCAGGGGAAGGAATCTGGGTCCACTTGAGGAAGCTGTAACTGATGACTGATGTCTGCCACAGTGGAGGGGATAGCAGTAGAATACAGGCCAGTACCTAAGTCTGCATATTTCATCTGGCATTAGATCATCATGTGTGCCTCTTGCCACTGTTGCATGTGAGGCAAGAGCCATCCCAGGTCTTCAGGGCCTGAAGAACTCTGAGAAGGGCAGTCCATTGACCAAGGTGGCCCAAGAGCCAGGATTAGGTCAAGGAGGCGTGGCCCTTGCTGGGCTGTGTGCTGAGTATGAGGGCCTGGGGAAGCAGCTGGTGGGAGACTCCACAGCAGAACTGAGAGGAGAATGGAAAGCTGGGAGAGAGAGGCTCGTTCGCTCAAAAAGCATTGTGCATTTACTTGGGAGCCAGACGCTAAGCTAGAGGAAAGGATACTAGGTGAGTAAGGCAGTTTGTGCCCTCAAGGAGATCCCAGCCCAGATAAGTATATGTAGCTGTATTTTAGAGGCTTCGTTCCAGACCACTGCAATAAAGTGAATTGCACACGTTTTCTGGTTTCCCACTGCATTAAAGTTATTTTAGCCAGGTGTGGTGGCACATGCACCTGTAGTCCCAGCTACTCTAGAGGCTAAGGCAGAGGATTGCTCAAGCCCAGGAGTTCAAAGCCAGCCTGGACAACATAGTGAAGACCCTTGTGTAAAAAAATTAAGTTTATACTATAGTGTAGTTTATTAACTGTGCAATAGCATTATGTCCAAAACTATAAATACCGTAATTTAAAAATATGAAAGAATGCTAATGGTTATCTTTAATCTCAGCTGCTTGGGAAGCTGAGCTTTGCACCAACATGCCCAGCTAATTTTTTTTCTTTTTTTTGAGATGGAGTCTTGCTCTGTTACCCAGGCTGGAGTGCAGTGGTGAGATCTCGGCTCACTGCAACTTCCACCTCTCGGGTTCAAGCAATTACCTGCCTCAGCCTCCCAAGTAGCTGGAATTACAGGCACTCATCACCATGCCTGGCTATTGTATTTTTAGTAGAGATGGGGTTTCACTGTCTGGCCAGGCTGGTCTTGAACTCCTGACCTCGTGATACACCCACCTTGGCCTCCAAAAGTGCTGGGATTACAGGTATGAGCCACCGTGCCCAGCTGCTTATTAATTTTTGTAAGAGACAGGGTCTTGCTATGTTGAGACCCTGTCTGGTCTCAAACTCCTCCTAGGCTCAAGCTATCCTTTCACCTTGACCTCCAAAGTACTGGGATTACAGGTGTCAGCTACCACGCCTCGTCCCCTTTGTGGAATTTTAATGTCTCCAGTCCTTTGCCTCCAGAGCTCTCCGATGCCTTTAAAACGATGGTTTTCTATTTTATCCACCCTTTCCAGTTCTTAGCAGGAACATTGGCCTGTAAACTACTCCCTTCTATTTAGAGGCAGAAGTCTTGACATTAGCAAATTTTATTTAAATTTTTTTTTTCTTTTTTTTCCTGTTTGGAGAATGGATTATACCACGGCAAGAGTGGAAGCAGGGTGACCAGTTGGAAGATTATGGCAGTTGTGTAGGTGAGAGATACTGGTGACTTGGACTAGGGAGATAGAGGTAGACAGCAAGATAGATATCTATGTTCCAAGAGAGAAAGGTGAAGATACAATTTTAGGTGAATGAAGCTCAGAGCAGGGAAGTATGTAAAATGTGATATACCATTTTTTTTTTGGTTAAAAGAAGATTTATTTGAAACCAGCCTGGCCAACATGGTGAAACCTCATCTCTACTGGAAATACAAAAATTAGCCAGGTGTGATGGCGGGCGCCTGTAATCTCAGCTGTTCAGGAGGCTGAAGCAGGAGAATCGCTTGAACCTGGGAGGTGGAGGTTCCAGTCAGCTGAGATCGCACTATTGCACTCCAGCCTGGGCAATAGGAGTGAAACTCCATCTCAAAAAACAAAAAAGAAGATTTGTATGTATATATGCAAATTGGGGTGATATATTTTTTATTTTAACATGCCTTTCTCTTTTTTCTTTCCCAGAACATCATAGTTTCTCTAATATACTGTGGGCATCCTTTTGGCTAGGGGGAGATTTGAATGCCAAGGAAGACCACAGTGTCAGTCAGCCTTTACCATTCAAAAATAGGATTATGCAATAGGACAACAGCCTTGCAAGGCAGGGTTCTTCAATTTTGTTTTTAATTTTAATTATTGCTCCTTTATAACCAGTAAGCAAACTTGGAGAATCTATTCCCATAACATTTTTCAGGGATGTGAAGTAGACACTCTTGTCTACCATTAAGGCTTAGCTGAAGTCAGAAAGAATAAAGATATAATTAGGGATCACAAAAGGTTTTTTTACCTGATACTTTTTTTTTTTTTTTTAAAAAGGGATTAAGGAAGAAGAAGGGGAACAGAGAAGCAGATGACAAGAGGCTCACATGGGTGTCCCAATTTCCCTTCTCTGGACTTTGACTTGGAGAGGGTGCAAGCATATTAGAGAGAACACTGAGAACAAGAGAGGAGACCTTGACTTTGCTTCCCATTTAGCACTGTGCAGGAGGCCACCTCTTGAATTGCCCCCTGCCCTAAACTGGTATAGCCATGGCAACGGGACAGCTTGGTGTGGGTGGGCAGAGGGAGGTATCTTCGCCAGCTTGGGCTGCCATAACAAAATTCCATAGATTGGGTGATTTAAACAACAGAAGTTAATTTTCTCAAAGTTCTGGGGGCCAGGAAGTCCAAAATCACGGTGCTGGCTGATTCAGTTTCTGATGAGAGCTCTCTTCCTGGCTTGCAGATGGCCGCCTTGCTGTGTCCTCCTATGGTGGAGAGAGAGAGAATGGCCTCCCTGGTGTCTCTTCTTATAAGGGCACTAATTCTATCAGATTATGGCTCCACCCTTATGACCTCATTTAACCTTAATTACCTCCTTAAAGGCCCTATCTATAGATACAGTCACATTGAGGGTTAGGCTTTGTATTAGTCTGTTCTCATGCTGCTAATAAAGACATACCTGAGACTGTGTAATTTATAAAGGAAGGAGGTTTAATTGATTCACAGTTCCCACACGGCTGGGGAGGCCTCACAATCATGGGGAAAGGTGAATAAGGAGCAAAGTCACGTCTTACTAATGGTGGCAGGCAAGAGAGCTTGTTCAGGGGAACTCAACGTTTATAAAACCATCCGATCTCCTGAGACTACCACAAGAACAGTATGGAGGAAACCACCCCCTTGATTCAGTTGTCTCCACCTGGCCCTGCCTTTGACACATGGGGATTATAATGCAAGGTGAGATTTGGGTGGGGACACAGCCAAACCATATCAGGCTTCAATATGTGACTTTTGAGGGTACAAAGTTCAGTCCATAGCAATTCAGTCCTTTGGACTTTAGCATCCCGGAGCTGCCCTGGGATCCTGAATGGTCTATGTCAACCCAGAGGTGGCTGAGGATGTGGCTGAAGAGTTTCCTAGCAGGGACTACAGTACCAGAGTGAGGTACCAGATCTGCACCCTGCTTAAAAATCCAGCATGTGCCCTGGCGAATTGCTGGCACTTGGCAAATATTTATTGAAATGAGCCGTTGGGCTGTATCTTCTTTTTGCATGTGTTATAGGAGTATCCCTTGTTCTCCACCCTTCAGAAGTCACCCTTTCCTTGAACATCCTCTGAATATCAGCCCCAGATGTGTAGGAAGTCCGTTTGAGTCTTCAGTAAATGCTGATATGTTCTCTTTTTCTTTGAGATGTAGTCTCGCCGTTGACGCCCAGGCTGGAGTACTCTGGCGTGATCTTTACCCACTGCAACCTCCGCCGCCTGGGTTCAAGCGATTCTCCTGCTTCAGCCTCCTGAGTAGCTGGGACTACAGACGTGCACCCCACACTCAGCTAATTTTTGTATTTTTAGTAGAGACGAGGTTTCACCGTGTTGGCCAGGCTGGTCTCGAACTCCTGACCTCAGATGATCCGCCCGCCTTGGCCTCCCAAGGTGCTGGGATTACAGGCGAGAGCCGCTGCACCCGACCAATGCTGATGTGTTCTAACAAATCCATCCCGGTGGCTGTTTGTTGTATTTTTCTCTGAATAGCTCCATTGCTCCAGGCCTCTCTGTGGTATCCTATGGCTTTCACCTTTTCTCCCACTGCTGTTCTTATCCTATGCCATTTTGCCCCAAACATTCTTATGATCAATTAAAGCTGGCCCCAGGACAGCACAGGCTCCACACTCTGGCCCGGATTTGTTTCTGCCTCAGAAATACATGCTGTCATGGTCGTCAAGATGTCTCCTAGCTCATCCAGGCGGGTCTGCTTTCAGAGATTCCACTGGGAGAATTTAACAGTGTTCTGGAGCTTGATCATCTCCCACCCTGGTCATCTCTCAAAAGATGTTGCAACCCACCTGAGCGCTTAGATCAAACCCCAGTGGCTTCTGAGAAGGTGTTGCTGGTTTGTGAGGGAGAAGGGATGGGAGAGGATGGTGAGAAAGAGAAGATGCTAGGAAGTGAAATAAGAAGAAAAGAGGAAAAGATATTACCATTTAATTCAACTCAGGGCCGGGTGCAGCGGCTCATGCCTGTAATCCTAGCACTTTGGGAGGCCGTGATGGGTGGTTTGCCTGAGAAGACCAGCCTGGCCAACATGGTGAAACTCTGTCTCTACTAAAAGTATAAAAAAATTAGCTGGTGTGATGGTGTGTGTCTGTAATCTCAGGTACTCGGGAGGCTGAGGCCCGAGAATCACTTGAACCCAGGAGGCAGAGGTTGCAGTGAACCACAATCACACCACTTCACTCCAGCCTGGGTGACAAAGTGAGATTCTGTCTCAAAAAAAAAAAAATTCAGTTCAACTCAAACTTGAGTATGCATCCAAATCACCTACAATGCTTGTTAAAGCACAGATTGTTGGGCTCCTCCCCTGAGTTTCTGATTCAGTGGATTTGGGATGGGGACTAAGCATTCTGACTTCTTGTTTTTTTTTTTTTTTGAGACAGAGTCTCGCTCTGTCGCCCAGGCTAGAGTGCAGTGGCGTGGTCTCGGCTCACTGCAACCTCTGCCTCCCGGGTTCAAGCAATTCTTTTTTTTTTTTTTTTTTGAGACGTAGTCTTGCTCTGTCGCCCAGGCTGGAGTGCAGTGGCCAGATCTCAGCTCACTGCAAGCTCCGCCTCCCGGGTTCACGCCATTCTCCTGCCTCAGCCTCCGGAGTAGCTGGGACTACAGGCGCCCACCACCTCGCCCGGCTAGTTTTTTGTATTTTTTTAGTAGAGACGGGGTTTCACCATGTTAGCTAGGATGGTCTTGATCTTGTGACCTCGTGATCTGCCCGTCTTGGCCTCCCAAAGTGCTGGGATTACAGGCTTAAGCCACCGCGCCCGGCCGGGTTCAAGCAATTCTTCTGCCTCAGCCTCTGGAGTATCTGGGACTACAGGCGCGTGCCACCACGCCCTGCTAATTTTTGTACTTTTAGTACATACAGGGTTTCGCCATGTTGGCCAGGCTGGTCTTGAACTCCTGACCTTGGCCTGCCTCGGCCTCCCAAAATGCTGGGATTACAGGTGTGAGCCACCGCACCCGGGCTCATTCTCCTTTCAAACAAATTTCCAGGGGATGCCGATGCTGCTGTTCAGAGGACCGCACTTTGAGAACCACTGACCTCACCCCCAGACCAGCTTGGAGATGATGCACCCTATCCCAGTATAATATTTTAGTCTTCATAATGGGTAGGCAGACCTGCTTTTTCCAAAAGATCCTTGCAGCCAGCAGCCAGGTCCATCTGTTTGTTCATACAGTGGCAAGATGTCCAACAACTCCCTAAGGAACTTAATGAGCAACTTGGATCCAATTCTTCATTGTCCGTCAAAGGAAAGGAATCCACGCTTGATCATGAGCCTTTGGATGCTCTACCAGGCTCTGTGGCCAGAACAAAGTGCCTTGTTATCTCCCTGACAAGGAACCTACTTTATGGTGTTGGACAAAGCACCTAGCACGTCACATTCTCCCAAATAGCACAAACTCATACCCAGTGAAACTGGGAGAGCAGTGGGTGGTCTTTCTACTCTCAGAAACCTGTTTATTTCCATCTTGGTGGTATGGAGAGGGTGTTGTGTGTTCCACATTGTGCAAAGGCCTGGGACATGATGGCCACTGCTCCCACTCACCCATCTCATCAGCATGTTGTAGACACCTGCAGAGTTGTACACTGAACTGAGCATGTTGGAGAGTGGAGGGCATCAATGATGCAATGCGTCCAGAACCTGCTTCAAAGCCAGGCCTCTGACACAGCTGCAGACTAGATGCATAGTGAAGGCTCAGGAAATGTCGGCCATGATTCTTTTGTTTTGTTTTGAGACGGAGTCTCGCTCTGTCACCCAGGCTGGAGTGCAGTGGTGCGATCTCAGCTCACTGCAACTTCTGCCTCCCGGGTTCAAGTGATTCTCATGCCTCAGCCTCCCCAGTAGCTGGGATTACAGGTACATGCCACCTTGCCCAGCTGATTTTTGTATTTCTTTTTTAGTAGAGATGGGGTGTCACCATGTTGGCCAGGCTGGTCTTGAACTTCTGGCCTCAAGTGATCTGCCTGCCTTGGCCTCGCAAAGTGCTGGTATTACAGGAGTGAGACATGGTGCTCTGCCAATTCTTAAGGGTATGATTAAGAAGAGTGTCCCAATCATAGCCTGGGATAGAACACTTTCGTGATACAATTCACAACCTCCTTCTGGGAGGACATGAGCATTCCTGAT